TTCTTTAGATAAGAAGTACTAAGATTTAATATAGGCTTAGCTTTATAAGTTAGAACTAGATAGGCAAAGCTCTTATTAAGTGCTAATAGATTACTTACTTATACTTTATACTTTAACTTCTTAAGTTATACTAGTTTTTAGCAGTTACGTTTAAGTTTAGCTTAATTCTAAAGTTATTCTAGCTCTTTTGCAATTGCAGCTAAGTTATTATTATTATTAATTATTACTAACTAAGAGAGTAGAATAGAAGCTAGCCTAGCCTATACTACTATATTATTACCTAATAGAGTTAAAGTTAGTATAGTAGAACCTAGGCTAGGCTATAATAAGCTAGACTAGTTCTCTAGAAGTAGTATTGCTGCACTAGAGAATAAAGAGAATACTTTCTCTGTATTATTATCTACTATATGCAGAGTAGAAGTAGCCTACCTTCTTCTATAACGTATAGAACCTAATAGGCCTGCTTATAAGCTTATAGTATTAGAATAATATACACAAGAGTATTATAAGGTAAGTAATTTAAATATTAGATAATATAATATTATTAGATACTAGATGCACAGTAATAATAGAAATAAAAGTATATTATCTTATAAGACTAAAGACGAATTACTACTAAGCTATAGTAGTAGTTAATAAGTATTTATACCTAAGGCTTAGTTAGCTCTAGCCTCTTAGGCCTAGGTTCTAATAGCTACTCTAAAAGCTAGTAGAAAGGTTTCTTTATTAATATAGTAGATATAGCTATATATTAAGGCTAAGATACTATTATTATATATGCGCTTTAATAGCAAGAAGTAAGTAATATTAAAAGGCTATAATAAGTAAGATAAGTAAGAAGATATATAGAGAATAATAATCTTCTTCTTCTTATAGCGCTTCTAGAATTCTACTATATAGTAGCTCTTATAGCTATTAATAATAAGTAGCTTATATACTCTAATAGGCTATATATATAAGTTAAAGTAGTTAAGCTAGATAAGTGCTAGATTATTATTAGTCTAGCTAGTAAAGCTAACTTAGATTATCTAGTTATATAGAAGGTTATAGAACTAGTTTAAGATAAGAACTTTGCTAGCAAAGATAAGAAATAGTAAGATATGCTTCTTTATTATACTAATAGCTTATACTAGAGTAACTTACTTATAATTACTAAGCTAGAGCTTCTTTGCTTTCTTAGGCTTCTCTAACTCTATTACTATAAGCTAAGATAATATCTTACCTATTAGAAAGCTAGACTTATTAAAGTTATATATATTCTTATTTATAATTTTATACTTTGCCTTTATTAACTATACTAGCTTAAACTAGCGCTAGATAAGTACTAAGTTCTTATAAGCAGCTTGCTAGCAATTATATAGATAGCTCTAGCGTGTTTATAAGTTAAGTATATATTAGATAAACTTATTAACTTAGTTCTTACTAATAAGCTTACTAGCATAGTCTCTTAGTAGTCTATTAGCTATATCTTACACGTCTGCCTTTAAGATAAAGATTTCTTATATAGAATACTTAAGTATATACTATAGAATTACCTTCTCTTTTAGCTTTATAAGGCACTTTATATTTAGCTTATAGTTATATTAAGAGCGTTTACTATTATAATAGTATTAGATAGTTATTTAAGAGACTTTATAGACTACTATAGCGCATTACTTACTCCAAATTTACTATAATTTAATATTAGATATTATAAGCTATATATCTTCTTTAGTATAGGTCTTTTAAGTTTAGTATTATTAAGATATTATATATTATTACTACGTAGGTGCATTAGCAGTATTATATAGCTTACTTAGTAGAGTAGCTTACTTGCTAGTAAACTACGTTATATTAGATAATTATCTGCTCTTTAGTTATAGTAAGTTTCTAGTAGTTAAGAGTAGTTTCTATATAAGAGGTAAGTTCTTTAATATAGTAATTAAGAGTATAGTAATTAATATTAAATATAGTAGTAGCAGCCTAGTAGCTTTAGAATTATTTAGATTATATAGCGTTAATAGCAAGCTAAATTCTACCTTTATTTTAGAGTAATAATGCGTTAAGTAGTTAAGGTATATTAGAGAAAAAGAGAATATATATAGCTTAGTAACTTTTAGGTTACTTAGTAGAGTAAGTTACTTAGTAGTAAATTATATTATATATACTTTAATATATTTAACTACTAAGATAGCTAGACTACTAAGCTAGCTACTTTTTCTTAGCATCGCGAATACTATATATAAACTATAAAATTACTCTATACTCTTTATAGATTCTTTATATAATATAGCTATATTAGATTTAGAATCTTCTTTTATATCTTTCTAATATATATAAGTATTATATCTAGTCTCTCTATAGTTGCTATAGCGTTATTAGGCTAGCTAGGTTCTTTCTTAATTATCTCTACTACTACTCTTCTTAGACGTTATATAAGTAGTAGAAGCACTTTTAGCTATCTATAATATGCCTATACTAAACTCTATTATACTGCTTATCTAAATTTACTTTCTTTTATACTCTTTATACTTTATTAACTTTATTACTTACTCTTTAAGCTCTTATATATAAGCTTTAATTAGAATATTTTTATATAGTATTTTCTTAGCTTCTTTAATAAGCTTTAAGAAGCTTTCTTAGGCACTTATTAGTAATTATATAATAGATTCTCTTATAAGTCTTAATTATAACTTAAATTTATATAGATTACTTAGTATTTTAGACTACTAGAGCGTTTCTAGTAGAGCTACTAGTAGTAGCATATAAAGATAGACCTTAAGGTAATTAAGAACTTTCTATATATTAATAGAAACTAGTTCTGCTATCTTAAAGGCCTTCTTTATAGTTCTTATATATAAATATATTAAAAAATGCGTTCTTAAAGGTAGAGAGAAAGCTTTCTTTATTAATATAGTAGATATATTAGCATACTAAGTCTTATATATATTAAGAGTACTTCTACTTTAATAGTAAAAAGTATATTATATTAAGTAGCTAGAGTATATATAATAAATAAGTAAGTATATAGAGAGTTAGAATCTTTTATATAAGGTAGTAGTTCTTAAAATTCTAGTTAAGATAGCTCTCTATAGCTATCTAAGAGAAGTAGCTTATATAACTATATTTAATATATCTTTATATACTTATTAAAGTACTTAAATTACTCTAGACTAAGCGCGTTATTTATCTAGCTATTCTTAGATACTAAGAGCTTCTAGTTATATAGTATTAAAGCTTTCTTATACTATACTAAGATATAGACGCGTCTCTTATAGATAATAAAGAGTAAAGTTATATACTTAGCAGCATAGATACTTTAGATAACTATAACTTACTTATAATTACTTAGCTAGATTATATTTAGCTTTATATAATGCTCTAAGCTAGTTACTACTTTTATTAAGCTAATAATGCTTATTTAGAAGCCTATTTTATTAAAGTTATAGATATTATTATTAAGAACTTTATACTTAGCTTTTATCTCTTATATAAGCTTAAACTAGGATGCTAATAATCTTTAGATCTTTCTAGAATATTCTCTAGTAATTCTTTGCCTAATTAAAAGCTATCTTAAGCTTCTCTATATAAGATATAAACTGCTTAGGCTAGTTTCTGCTAATAAGTATCTTACTATATATAGCTAATAGCTTATTAGCTATATCTGCTATCTTATAAAGTTAGAGAGTAAATTCTTGCATATCTAAGTTAAGAATATATTATATAATTATTTGCTTCTCTACTAAAGTAAGCTTCTAAATTCTAAGTTATATTTTGCATTAATTTATAATTCTATAAAGCTAATTAGAGAGCTACTAATATTATACGCTAAAGGTAGTAGTAGCGTATTATAAGCTCTTAAATTAGCCTAAGTTATAAGCCTAAAGAGTAAGATTAATTCTACTTTCTTTATATAATAAGTTAGAGTTATTTTAAGATAGTATTATAGTTTATATATAGTATTTATAGTGCTAAGAAAAAGTAGCTAGCTTACTAGAGTAGCTAGCTTACTAGTAGAATATATTATATCTTAAGTTATCTAATATATTATACTCTTTATAGAAGCTCTCTTATACTATCTTAGTATACTTAATCTCTATATCTAGTGCTACTTTACTTTATCTATAAAAACTAACTTAAGCTCTTTAATACTAGCTATCTAATTATTAGCTACTTAATAGGTTTTAATATACTATAACTTACTTATAATTACTTAGCTAAATTATATTTAGCTTTATATAATACTCTAAGCTAGTAATTATCTTTATTAAGCTAATAACGTTTATCTAGAAGCTTATTTTATTAAAGTTATAAATATTATTATTAAGAACTTTATACTTAGCTTTTATCTCTTATATAAGCTTAAACTAAGCGCTAATAACTTCTAAGTCTTTCTAGAGTATTCTTTAGTAATTCTTTGCTTAGATAAAGGCTATCTTAAGCTTCTTTATATGCTAAATAAAGCGCTCTACTTAGTTCTTACTAATAAGTATCTTACTATATATAGCTAGTAGTTTATCTATAATATCTACTATCTTATAAAAGCTAGAGAGCAAATTCTTATATATCTAAGTTAAGAATATATTATATAATAGTTTACTATTCTATAAAAGAGAGTTTCTAATAGTTTAGTAATACTTAAGCTTAATACTTAATTTTATTAAGCTAATTAAAGAGCGACTAATATTATATGCTAAAGGTAGTAGTAGCATATTATAAGCTCTTAAATTAGCTTAAATTATAAGCTTAAAGAGTAAGATTAATTTTACTTTCTTTATATAATAAGTTAGAATTATTTTAAGATAGTATTATAGTTTATATATAGTATTTGCAATACTAAGAAAAAGTAGCTAGCTTAGTAGTGTAGCTGTCTTAGTAGTACTTTACGTTAAAGATTAACCTTATTAAAAACTCTTAGCTAATATATTCTACTAGTAAGCTAGCTACTATAGTAAGCTCCATGCCACACTCAAACGACAACGATCACTCACCGCAGCCCACCAATTCGTAACAAATGAGTTATGGCGCTCACCCATATTGCAGACGTGGACCTCAGCACACACGTCGTCACTCTCGATCGTATCAGTAACTTCCAGTCTCGCTTTGTGGTGCGCGAAGTCTGTGTCGGAATCATCGAACAGCTACACGACGCGGATATAGCAGTAGTATTTGCACTAGATGCAGCAAAAGTAATTTTTCAGAATGAAGAATGCTCTCAACCGTCGTGTATCGTTCCGATCGACTTGCTCAAGTATTTGGTACGACAAGTGGTTATCGCGAGACGGAAGTTCGCAACGGAGAAAGCTGTGGCGTTCCAATGTGCCGCTTTCCATGACGCAACAACAGAGCGAGAGTTGTTTCAGATCCTTGAAGCTGTTCCAGCCGAGTTTGGCTGCGAAGTGTATGTCGTTGTTGACTTCGCCTTACTTGGAAAGACTGCAGACACTTCCAAAGCCTTCTCATGGGTCCAGGCGTTCTGTGCCATTTTCAGAAATCTCGCGCTTTGTGGCCTTCAGACTGCTGTCAAGATTGTCATGGTCAGCTGTGGCTCGCTGCCATTCCACATCACAGATCGCGAGCGTTTGAAATTTGTGGTCCGAGCAAAATCGCAGGTCTTGATGGCGCGACAAAGGAAGATGGCGTAGATTGCGAATTTATCTGCATCCGACGCAGATGCGATTGAAAGGCCTGCCAAAGTCGGACGGCACAGTGACATGGGTGATGAGACTTCCAGACACAAGTGAGTGTATATAAGAAGGTTAGTTGAGAAGGCTTGAACCATAGGCTTCCGTATCTAGAGTAGCCCTTCGTGTCAAGCGGTGATGACAGTACAGATTCGCGGACCCTCACGCTATCTTGACCTTTGCGAGGAGCTGACTCTCGAAGTCCAGTTCGGTCATGCGAAGCGGTATGTTGATTGATAAAATGCGATGGATCAGTGTTGGAGTTGATTCTTTTCTTGGTGAAGGTGGGTGGAGTGCAGGGGGACGTGGTGTGGAGTGAGCAGGAACGGCCATTATACACCGTATTGTCTCATAATATCAAGTATTACTATAGACCAGGGTCTAACATAGGTCTGAAATTGACTGTTGAAGACGCTCTAAAAGACCACCAACATAGACTAATGACTGACATCAATAAGATATCAAGACTTTGAACCCCCCCTTTGCGCGATAGGGTTGCTCCCTTCTTTCAGACACTAAACTCAACAGCTCTCTTAGCAGGATCAGTATCTCCGGTCTATCGTGCCATACCTTGTCAGTTAAATTTTCAAGAGACCGAATTAGTAGGCCTTAACATACCAAATCGCACGAAGCCGGATTATTTCCGTCAGGCAAGTCACACTGCGCGTTATACCTATGCAATGTCAGTGGATAGAATCGAAGCCGAGATTCATCGCGCTATACTTACTGCCCATTTCCAGAAGTAATAAAAACTGTTTTCCCCTTGGAGCGGAATCTGTATCCACCGCCAATGTCCTTGTTGGCTGTTTGTCTGTAGAGTGTGCGTTAGTGCATGAATCAGTTCTGTTCTGCTGTAGTGACCACTCACGACCTTGATTCCCCAGGACAAGCCTCAGGGACATATCCTGCAATGATTCCACAATTGGTAGAGAAGCGGTTCCCGGCTCCATCGATAAATGTAGCTTTGTAACAGGCTACATCACACGTGTTGCGACCACTGCCATTCAGTGAGCGGTGAGTAGGAGCCTTGGGATTTGCAGATACTGCATCCTTACGTACCATGTACTCTTACATCCTAGGCCCTACACGTCATGTTTAGTACTACATCGAGTTGTTTGAAAAGAAGAAAGACTCACGTCCTCCACACTGACAGAATCAGCAGATGTCAAGAAAGGGAGCAAACCCAATGCGATAACAGTGAAAGCCTTCATTCTCGATAATCGAATGTAGTTATGATAGTAAGTGTAGGTTTGTGTGAATGCACAGTGCTGGGTGGATTGTCAGAACAGGGAACAAGTCTTCTTATATACACCGCGACAGCCCGATAGAGATGTCATTGCCTCAAATCAGCGTCTCCTTATTGACATCATACATACCGAAGGTTCCCGGCTAAGCCCTTGGCCAACACGCCGATGATCCCTTGGAAAGAATATTAGGTGAAGATTCGCAAGGCAGGAAGACATGGTTGGTGTTTGGGGGCATCGAGTACTGGATGCCTAAACAACACAGGATTCCCGAACAAAACAGGATGCCTGAATAAGAGGATTCCCGAATAACACAGGAGTTCCGAATAACACAGGATACTCGTAAAGTTTCTAGCTAAGCCCTTAGCCAATATGCTGATGAACCCTTGGAAAGATTATTAGACGAATATTCGCAAGCAAGAAGACATAGTCATTGATCGGGGTCTCTGAGTACAGGACGCCTGATAGCCTTTTTGGTATCATTTGCGTCACTTCACGAACTAGATTGGATGAACACAGCCGATTTCTTTGAGGAATGTCGACTCCACTGTGTCGCAAACCAAAGTCCGTCCACAGCCTTTAATTCAAGGCCACCTTTGATGAGTGCATTTTGCGGTGAGCACAGCTGTCTCGACACCGGAGATTGTACGCATGCCTACGCACAGTTGCGATTGTATGAAGCTCCACAGCTTTTAAGCCTAGTAAAGAGCTGACATGGATTCAAATGATGTCCATAATCATCTCGGCCTCCCCGTACAATCATTCCATTCATTGTCCTCGTCCTCATCGTGGAGATTGTAAGTGATGGAGGCCGTACATGCATTGTTTTATCGTCTAGAGAATGGGCTTGTGCTCAAGTTGGCAGGGAGTTGTGTTCCCGAAAGCATGCGTACCGAGAGAAGTTTTGAAAGTATTGCTGCGAGCTTCAGCATGATGGTGTTGTTTTCAGGGTATTGGGGGCAATTTGCGTCAGACAGATGCCAAAAATAGATTGTGTCGGACGGGCCCGCGGGCGCTCACGGTCATAAGTGGGCAAAATACCCCCAAAGCAGCAGGCACGACTCGCCATTACCTTTGCTGAACGACGGCAAATTACTGCCAACCAACGTCGACAACGCGACATCATCGCAGCGGTAGCGTGGCCGCTACATAGTTGCGTACCGAGTCTTGCAGCCTCTCCTCGTGGTCGGCGCGCTGTTGCGACAGCGCTGGGCGCATCGCACGGGATCCTATCGCCGCGCGTGTTCGCGCTGGACTCGCGACCCGCCAGACGGCCAGTTGGCGTTGCAACCACGGCGCGAACAGTGGACAGGCCAGGAGAGCGCAGGGTGACGGTGCGCATGCACAGCCTATCGTACTCCCACGGCGTGCCATAGCAATGAACTGCTATTGAGATTAGCGCAATCGCGACTCACTTTGGGGCATCCATGGCGTGCTGACGGGCCAGCGATCAGCGCAGAGCCTCCAAATCTCCCCAGAATCATGCAAGTCCACTACGAATACCGGCACCCAGCAACTGGCGTACCACCCATTGACCCCAGCCTGGACCACACCACCGCGGCTTCCCGGAATGGCCACGCGCCCATGTCGTCGCTCCCTCATCAGTCGGCCGCGAACCACCTCCTCCAGCCCGACAATGCACCGCTCACCCACGCCCATCTTGCCCACGGCTTCTATGGCGACATGTCACGCCCCTCGCACACTCCGCCGCCGACGTCCTCCCCACGCTTTTCCGCCCTATCGCCCACCAGCCAGCCCAAGCAGCTGGCCGCCCACTACGTGCCCGACGACCGCACCCCTCCGCCCCGCGACGTGTCCGACGACACCATCGACGACGCCTATGCTGCCTTCATCCTCTACTGCAACCCCAACTTTGCAGCCTCGACCGACACCACGGAGCTGGTGAAGCTCTTTCGTACGCCGCCCAAGAGCGACGGCAATGCCTTCAGTAGCTGGACCCTGTTCGAGCTCATACGCAAGTTCGACGCCAAGAAATCAAGACATGGACGCAGCTGGCGCTGGACTTGGGCGTCGCGCCACCCGACACAGACAAAGGACAGAGCACCCAGAAAGTGCAACAGTATTCCGTGCGACTGAAGCGCTGGATGCGCGCCATGCACATTGATGCCTTCTTCGAATACCTCTTGGGCAAACAACATCCATACTATCTCTATATACCCCCTCCCCACGACCCGTTTCCCAACGACGGAAGAGATGGCGTGCCGCTAGAGGAAGATTTGGCCATACGCGCGCTCGATCCCAAGTTCAAACCGAAGCGTGGTCGGCGGAAGGCAGACGAGGGGGAAGAAGACATGGATCTCGATGACGGCACTCCTGCACGAAAGCGTCCTCAACTCGACACATCTGTTCCCTTTGGTAACGCATTGCAGCCTCAATCAGCATATCCTACCAGCGCCCACCCGGACCACATGGGCGGCTTCTTGACCCCACAGGATCCATGGACCGCAGCCTCTGCCATTACTCCATCTTCAGCCATGACCACAGCTTCCGCTCCAAGTCGAATGGGTCAGAAAAATTTGACCCCGTACTCAGCCTCTCCCATGACGGGCCAGCAGCTTCGTTGGCGCCTCAACACGCAGGAAAATCCACAGACTCCTCATCCCCTTTCCGCTGTTACGCCACAATCCGCCCACCCCTTCTTTGACGAGCCTCAGTCAGCCGTAACCCCATCTAGTGCTAAGCCGCGCGCAAGACGACGACACGGGCCTGCTGTCTCGTCAGCATGGTCGAGCAACAATAACTCTTCGAACGGGAAACTTCGTGGTCGACCACCTAGCAATCGCTCGATACGCGACGGGCCTTTCGTCACGTTTCCAGCCAACCCAGCCAAGAGAGAAGGTGCGACCAATGACATCAACAACCGCAACTCGGGAAATCTGACCCCTATCGTTGAGCGCGCTCACTCTGACCCGCCCACTATAGAACACACATTCCGCTTCCCTCCCACCCCTGCTTCTGCCGTATCACCATCTACTATTGAGGGATCCCTACAAAGTGCCCCTCAAAAGCAACGCCTCAGCCTTCAGGTCCCACAGATTGTAGGAAATCCAGTGCGCCTGGTCACACCCACCGTCTTGGTGAATGGTGAGGAAGACCACACTTCGAGTACAAGCTATGCATCTTCTGCGATGCCTGTTAGTGCTGGGCAAGGCTCTACAGCAGGCACTTTTGAGAACCATTCTGGTCCTACCCATCACACATACCACGGAGCCCTCACTCCATCAGAGACACCAGCTCAGCCACAGCCTCCCCCATCTTCGCGAGCACCAGCTCAAACAACATCGCCGGCACCTTCGTTGCCGGCTGTGTCTCTCGAGAGCCTCAATCGCGCATTGGCAGCTGAGCTTATACGTGCCCCGCTTACAGGACGGCGGAAGCGTTTACGAGGAACAGAAGCGAAGCATCTAGCCTCGTCTATACTTCAGCCGCTGTATGTAAATACTTCTACGGGGCTAGCAGCTCCAGCAAGAGTCATGAGCGATCAACTTCTCGGCATCGTCATCAGTAGCTGTCTTGGATTGACTAGTACAGTTGGCATGGGCAATGGTGGCCCGACGGGAGGTGTAAGAAGGGTTGATTGTATCCGCTTCCGCATCGGGGGCGACGGCTACGAAAGCCCCATTGATGAAGACGATGAAGACGCCGATGGCATGCATGAGAGTAGTGCGGTCAAGGAAACGTTCGATGTGTCTTTTGCTGTATCCTTTGGGTCGTTGTCTGGCGAGTGGGTCGCGAAAGGCCTCGAAGCCATCGCAGATGACATCAACACCGAACGCAATCCTGCAAGCGGCAGTAGAACGTCTGAGCTGGAGCGACAGGAACACAGCCAGATCACATCCACTGCATGGAAGTCCAAATTTGTAGAGGCACAGAGGAAGCTGTGGGAGACTCAAGAAGAGGTGAAAAGCTTGAAAGACAAGATCCTTGAAGCTATATTGTAACCATGCAATGGCCTGAATGTGTATATGGGTTTGGGGCAGGATTAGTGGGTTGGTTCGTTATATACCCCGGTGTTTAGACATATTTATTGGTCGTTTGTTGTTTAACTGTAGGTAGCAGGTTCGTGACCTCAAGGACACGTTCCGCTTTTGCATTTCCCGAATCATATCATACTCGTCTAATCACGATCTCCTAATGCTCCTGACACCTGATCCTTCTCCCAAGGCTTCTTGCGGTGTGCTTTCACGGGTTCTGTGCCTTGGCCAGTAAGGACAGTGCTGGGTATCTCCCGAATGCCAGGCACCGGCTGTCCGCTCGTAATGAGCTCGACAATATGCGCAAATGATGTTGGGTATGGAGCAGGAGATTCACTCGCGCTCGAAGACGTTGGCATAATACCACTTGGAGCTTCATTGCCCGGCACTACTAGGGGCGGCGTGCCATTTAGAGGTTGCGTGGGCGGCGGTCGGCCCCGTGCGTTGCGGTATGCTTTGTAACCATCGAAATCGATATTCATGTTGAATTTTCTAGTCATTGTGAGTCGAGCTTCCACAAGAGACGGCATCGCTGGCGACACACCTTGCGTAGTAGAAACAACGCGCCCTCAGTGCCAGCTCGGCTGCTTGGTCTGGCGTGCTATTACTGCCGAGAATGGCACTCAGGCCCGCCTGGAACTCGACATCGTCGTCCCAACTATATCTCTCGAGAGCTTCATACACATCATTGAGTCCGTCAGTACCTCCAGCAGCGCTCATGGCGGTCGACAGTAAAGGTAGCACATTAGAGTGGGGTAAAGGTCGAACGAGGTCAACGTCTACAGCTCCGAGGTCAGAGCTCCACGCGACCCACCTCGCTAAGAGCTGGTGTGCCAAGGCCTTTTCCCAGCCCACGACGATCGTGTCTTTCGCGCGAGACTCTGCTCGCTCACTCTTCCGCCAGCCCACTTCAACCAGCCTCCTCAACACCTTTCCGGTCTCCCTTTCCTTCATCTCTCCTGTCTTTCTCTTTCTACTCTCCCGATTTTGATACCCACACTACACCGCCATGTCCGAGTTTATCGGGTCAGTGCAGTTTCGTGCATAGGGCTGGAGCTCCCACTGACGTGCACCGCGTAGATCTCGCATATCGCTCATCTCGAAAAGTGATATTCGGTTAGTGTCCAGCTATTGAGCAGCCATTGAACGCGTTGTCTGACCTGGCATAGATATGTTGGTACTCTTGTGGAGATCAACTCAGAAGCTTCCACGGTGTCTTTGGATAATGTGCGTTCATTCGGCACAGAGGGCCGCAAGGGCGGGAACGACGAATACCCTCCATCAGACGTAGTGTATGAGCAGATCGTCTTTCGAGGAAGCGATGTGAAGGACCTACGCATAGAAGAGTCGGCGAAAGAGAAGGCTCCGCCAGCGATGCCGCAGGATCCTGCTATCATTGGAGTGAGTCCCCAACCCCGATGTCTTCCTACACTGTCCGATGATGTAATACTTTTCGGATGTAAACCCATTAAACCACCGAGAGCGCAAAACCGTGTGGATATTTTCCGTTGCCTTCCTTCTGAGACCCAACTCGTACACTTATTTGAATATACACCCAACCAAATTGCACTTGCTAACACGAAAGTGTGCAACAGGTACCGCAGTCTCAGCCTCGTCAAGATGCCGCTTCACAGGATCAACAGCGTCAGCAGCAGCAGCCGCCGCCGCCAAACTTCCCCCCACATGGTCAGTTCCCGCCTGGTGGCTATCCCCCCTTCGGCGGTCCAGGCGGTCCAGGAGGCCCATACCCCAATCGCTTTGGTCCACAGGGTGGTTTCCCCGGTGGACCTGGACCATTTCCTGGTGGACCACCCGGGGCATTCGGCATGCCTCCGCCACCGTTCGGGGCACCTCCAGGCTGGTTTCCCCCCGGCCAGGGCTTCAATCATCCACCAGGGCCGTTCCCACCACACATGGCTGGTGGCCCTCCTGGACCGCACAACCACAATCAGTCTCCGGCAGGCCCGAGAGCTACTCCACCATCAGGGCCTCAGGCTGAGAAAGATGAGCGAGGTGGCGCGCAACCGAAAGTTGCTGAGGCGGACAGCACAACGAGGCCTTCGGAGAAGAAACAGAATACGAAGGTAGCTGGGACCACACCGAACCTGGGCGCTGCCTCTAAACAAGCGCCTCCACCACCGGTCGACTCCAAACCGAACGTTGCCGCTGCGCTTGCGCCGCCACACCCACAGTCTGGTCAGAAACCTGGTGTAGCACCTAAGGGTGGGCAGAGAGGTGGCCGTATTGTTCCTGCTGTTCCCATTCCCAGCCCTAGAGTCACCAAGACTACCCCACAAGCTCAGCCACCAGTTACCCAGTCCCAGCAGCCTGCAGTGACCCCTGCCCAGCAGCAGCAGAATGCGACGCAACTTGCCACCGCTGCTGTTGCGGAAGCTATGGCGAAACTCAACGTTCAGAACAAGAGTCAAGCACCGATATCCGACCCGTTGAACAACCTAGCCCAGAAGGTGGAGGGAATGCGAGAGCAGCAGAACCGCCAGAGCCGTTCACAGGGATCAGGCACTTTCCGTGGTGGCAGAGGTGGTCGAGGAGGTAGAGGCGGTCATGCTCAACACCCGAAGATGGAGGTGCCCGCGACGGATTTCGATTTTGAGTCTTCCAACGCAAAGTTCAACAAACAGGACTTGGTGAAGGAGGCAATTGCGTCTGGATCTCCGCTAGGAGAAGCAACAGTGGCCCCGGTAGCTGAGGCGGTGTCAGACGCTCAGGCTAATGGAGCCGAGAGTGAGGATATCGTAATACCTCCGTCTGCCTACAACAAGAGTTCGAGTTTCTTCGATAACATCTCCAGTGAACTGAAGGACCGAGATGAAGCTGCAAGCAAGCGTGGACAGGAGTTCAGAACAGAAGAGCGCAGGAAGAATATGGAGACCTTTGGTCAGGGTAGTGTTGATGGCTTCAGGGGTGGCTTTAGAGGCCGCGGCCGTGGCCGTGGGCGCGGTCGGGGCTTCAATGGCGTCCGTGGTCGTGGCGCACCTCGAGGGCGTGGAGGCGTTGCCTTCGAAGAACAATCAGTACCTTAGGCAGCAGGCGAATGTCCCCTGTGTGGCCTTTGATTTTCATACCTTGCATCTCCTTGAGCGGTCTGTATTAGTATGGTTGGCGTGTTTCTTTATGTCTATGCCCATCTGGGCTCGGTTTCACGGTTCCTATGGAACGACATCATGATCTAAGGTCGATTTCTCCGCGTCTACTTGTACAGGACCAAAAGCTATAGGGGCTGCTAGTCAGAAAACATCGTGGGATGACTTCTGAACCAACATCAGGACGATAAGATACTATACGTCTGAATATGGCTGAATGAAACAGCCGTTCTATTCAGAAGACTTGTCCCTCACGCATGAACTGAAAGTGTTCCTGGCGATCCACACCTCACCGAGCTTTCCAGACGCCTCACGAGTAAAAAACGCAGTCTGGGTATCTGTAAACATGTAAGTGGCAACAGCAGCCTTAGTGTAGTAACAAAAAGTGAAATGCATTGCCAGTCGTCTTCAGGTACCTACTTCAGTTTGAAGTCAAGCCATATTACATAATAAAATGTAATGTACTACTAGACATAACTACATATCTCACGCTCCTCATTCCAGAGCTTTGTAAATATGTCATCACCAGTTGGACGTCAACTTATAGTGTATTCATTATGCTACTTTACGCTACCTGCTAACGCATTCCAAAACCCAATACTCGACGTGCTATCATACACGTACCGATAAAATCAGACAAGCCTAGCCCATATGCTTGGTCCTCGAGATTGATTCTGTTCTTTGGACAGCGTCGGTGACCTTCTCTTCGTATTTCCCAAACACTGTTGTGCCCTCAACATTTGTCTCCTCGAAGACGTTCACCGTAGTCTGCGCAAATTTACGCGCAGATACTTTCTTCTCAAAGAGCAAGTCCAACTCTGCGAAACTGCGATCCTTTGGCTCTGGCATCCTGAAGTATGTGTAGATTATGCTCAAGAAGCATGCGCCTGCCCAGAAGAAGCCAGCAAAGTTGCCCCAGTTCCAGGCGCCAGGGTTGAGCATGTATGGGGTGAGGACCGAAGTGATAATGCCAATGACGTTGTAGAGGTTGCGACCTAATACGACGGTCTTGATTTGCAGGCGGCGCGAAGACAATTCGGCAACGAGCGAATAGCAGACTGTTCCAACAGTGAGTTGATAGAACATGGCCCATACGATCATCATAGCTCCTGTCGCCATAGCTCGTTCTTGACGCTGCGAGTCCGGGCCCAAGCCCAGGAAGCCCATGACAAAGAGCATGGCACATAGTCCACAAAGACCGCCAAGATACAAAGTTCGTCTTCCGAACCCGAGCTTCATAAGGTACCATGCACCAAAGACACCAGCCATGTTGATTCCGTATTGTCCGAGGGCGAAATCGTAAGACGTGGATTCTGGTAGGCCGGCTTGTTGGAGGAAGTAACTTGAGTAACCAGAAAAAGCGTTACCGCTGAGATTCTGGATTGCCCAAGCCATGCAAACAATCTCCGTGCGGCGTAAATCCACACCTTTGAAGCAGTCCAGGTATGATGCGCCTTGAGTAATCTTCTCTTCGAGAGCTGTTGTGTGTACCATCATGGCTACTGTTTCCTCAGCGTCGAAATCTGTCTCGCGGTTGAGACTGGTGAGGCGAAGAAGGGATTTTTTTGCCTCGTCCAGCCTGCCTTTGCGAACAAGCCACCATGGAGACTCTGGAGCAAGGAAAACACCAATCATCAGAGGGACTGGCCACATCCATTGCAGTGCGTAAGGAATACGGTAGGACCACTCGTCGTCGCGCTCAAGCATGGATCGAATCACGCCAATGCCAATGACCTGGCCCAGGCCCCAGCAGAAATTAACATATGTGGTCACTGCTCATGGTCAGTTCGTTATGCCTTCAGGAAGGACTTTGAGTACCCACAGTATCCACGGAGCGCGACCGGACAAACCTCACTCGCATAAGTAATGGTCAAAGTCTGGAACACACCCCACGGTATTCCACACAGAATTTCTGCAATCAACAGATGCACCACTGTCTGAGCCGTGAAGAAAATGGCGGTGAAAGCAATGATCAAAAACAAGCATCCCATGACTGTGTACCGGTAGCCAATAGCCTCGCTGATCCAGCCATTCAAGAACAGTCCAATGATCTCACCCACGATCACTCCATTACTCAAGCCGGCTTGCCACCGTGCTGGTATCTCGTATGTGCCGTTAGGAAGCATCTCGCCATATTTGCGTTTGAACTGCGGGAAGCCAAAGAAGTTGTTAAGCAAACAGACGTCGTAGCCTTCCATGACAATACAGGTGCTGATCAAGATGGACCATCCGATAGCCTTGGGGTATAGCTTAATTCCTTGAAGAAGGGTCATGTTGTGCTCTTTTTCGGTAGCGAGGCGCGCATCATTCATGACACGATCTGCTGCCCGCTTGTGGTCGCCATCATGATCGTAATCCAAATGGGGTGCAGTCGTTGGCCGAATCTCCTTTTCTTCCGCCATGGTGGTGGTGGAGCTCGCTTGGCGTTCAGCGGGGCTGGTGGCTCGGCGTGCTGCTTGCGGGGAAGCTCACGGGCTTCGCAATTCACAGAGGGAAAATGTATGTCCGGGGTAGCAGTTGCCAACACGCGGGTGACAGGACGTGAGGTGGTCCTTAAAGCATAAAATTTTGCGGGGATGCTAGCAACAAGCGTTAGTTTAGCGTCATGGTCGCGTGCGAAGTGCGGGCTGGGTGCCCTGTAAGCCACGGCGGTCTTTGATTGGCTTCATGTGCAAATCACCTGCCGTATTGGGAAATGGCCTGTGAACGGCACAACGCAGCTCGAGGTCCGGATTCTTGACCAGGGTCGCTTTGCTGCATGCGTGTAAGCAACTGCTTGGTATGCACGTGCAGAAGGCCCGGCTAACAAGCCATGTGATCGAGTTGCCGATATTCTTCCAACGTGTAGCTCCAGATGTCTCTAAGAGGCGTGTTCTGTACACCCGAGCACCTGTTGTTTCCCGCGGTTAAGACAGCGTTTTCATCATGCCGAGCCTGTCCCGATGAAAATTAGGTCTACACCCAACGACCTGGACTTTACGCAAGCATATAGATAATAGCTCTGGGTGCTGTAACAATTAGTGCACGAGTATTTGCTCTCCAGTCGCCTTTGTAAATCAGTACTAAGGTCCCGGATGAGCTATCCAGTACGTTCTTGGGCACCAAAACCACTTCAAAAATATATAGCCTCCAGCTTGACTGTACTCTGAAATTCAGAGTATGGAAACAGCGCGCACGAATTATTGCAAGACCTGGTGCTATTGGAGAACTCTGATCTGACTTCCCTAGGAATGTAAAACTGGTAGATAGGATATTTTATCGATCATCTATTGTCTCGTGCAAGGACAGACACTGCATGTCCATCAGCCACTCCGGAACCAGCCCCAACATTGGTTTTGACTCTTCCAGTGTCTCCCTTGTGCCCTTGGGTGCCAATTCTCAAGAACGGCACAAAGACTGCACCAATGAAAGCGCACGCAGCAGTAAACCAGAAAACAGCTGCAAAAGGCTCAATGGCATTGTTGGCGTAGTAGCCAGAAGTTGAAGGTCTCTTCTCAACGGCATCAAATACGGCGGTCGCAATACCGAATCCGATCGCAGTACAGATCCTCGTTTGAGTCTGCAGTAGCGAGCCGGCGATCGACTGTTTCGAAATCGGCATCGAGGATAGAACATACATCTGCCCATGTCAGCCAAGCACATCGACGGTTTTCAGTCGACCCACGTTTGCAACGATGAATTGAAAGTCTGCACCGATCACACAGATACACAAAGCAGGGAAACTGAAGGCCCAGTATGAATCGCCATGTCTCTGCACTGCGGCCAGCGCAAAGGAAACGAGGAAGGCGCCGGCACCAATGCCTACAAGCAATTTGTTGGAAATTTTGTGTTGTACCAGAGCTGCAAATGCATTCGCAGCTAAGCCGCAGACGATCATTGGTAACATATGCACCCCAGTCATGAGTGCATTAAAACCAAGTTCAGTCTGGAAGTATAAGGCAATCCAAAAGGTGAACACAGGAAAGCCGATGAAGCCGAATCCGATGATAACGAACAACTGTATATGTTAGTCGGAAGTTAATGCATGGTCAATTCTGTGGCTTACCAATGAGAAATCTCGGTCCTTCCATATTGCCATATCGATCATGGCATATGGGTACTTGATCTCCCAGATCACAAAGGCGACCATGAGCAGAAGACCAAGAATCAGAAGAACTAGCACGTATGGGGTCTTCCATCCCTGTGGCGCGTTGCTTGCCAGACTTTGCATTGTCAGCGACTTATCCATGGGTAGGTTCTTGTACGTACCTAAGAGCGGCAGCGAACATTCCGATGCCGAGGATAGTCATGGCGGTCCCGGGAAGATCCATTTTCTTGACAGTCTCACTGTTGAAGCGCTGTTTTGTCGTGGTATCATTCGGTACCGTAAAGTAGGCAACGATCGTGGTGCAAAAGTACGCAACAGCCAACAGGAAGAAACCGGCCCTCCAATTGAAAATTTGCGTGAAAAGCCCTGCTAAGATGGTCCCGAAGACGTATCCCAAGGGATTTCCCGCACTGAAAGCGCCGAATGCGTAGTTCTTTCTACGACCGGGCATCTCGTAAATTGTTCCAAGCATACCCTGAGCTGGCGGCACTGCACAAGCCGACCATATACCCAAGACACCACATAGGATGTCTAATGTAATGCCGCTTTGAGAAAAGCCGGCGCCGAGACAGAAGACGCTGAACAGGAACATGGAGCCAATGAACATGCCCTTGCGTCCAAACAGGTCTGCGATGGAGCCGAAAAACAAAAGAAGAGAACCTGCCGTGAGCCTGAAACATGGTTAGCTCATCAAGATTTGATCAGGGATCATTAAGATAAAGCTTACGATGCGGCAGCACTCATCTTGTATAAGGTTAGCCATGAACGCTAGCAACAACAAGCGTATTAGTACTTACCCAGCTTATTTCAGCATTGGTCATTCCTAGATCCCGTCCAGCGAAACTTGACATAACGGTGATAGAGCCAGTCAGGAAGCTAGACATGGCAACAGCCATAGTCACAGACATGACGAACAGACACTCTTGCAGTGCCGAACTAAAGCATTCTGGTCGAGCATTGGGATCCTTTTCGCTGATTGGTGGCGAAGAGGCGTTGTCGAGCGCGACGTCCTTCTCTGGATCGCCCGACATGCTGCGTGGTTGGAATTGTGTATGAAGGTTACAGCGCGTTCGCCGGGGAGAACTGTGTTAAATAGGTTTAACGAGGTGCACACGACGGAAAAATGAGGTGTGGCGCCTGAGACAGCCCATTGTTGAAACTGTCGGCCCTGCTATTCGGAATATATCGCCAAACTATTATTCAGCGCGGAATCCCTCCATGCTCGGATTTGTGGCCCGGAACTAGGCGGTGAGCCGCATTGCGGGCAACTCGATAGCTTTGTAGGGCTATATTCAATGTAGATGTACGGGCTTTCGGTCTTTCCACAAGTCCACCCACCCCAGGGTGCCGTAATATCGCATTCATACAAGGTCAAGTCACGTGTCCATTTGTAACGTTCCACGGCTCCTGCTCTAAATTCGCCTTATCTGGTAAAGCTTTTTTTTTCCCTAGTGGGTATCATGTTCAACGTATTGAAATCTACAGCTTGAAGACCTGCCAATCGCGCAAGTCCATTTTGCCTAATACGCCGCCTAGCGGACCTTGAGTCTCTCTCCCACCAACCCATTGCTTCCTGCCTGCCCAATGCTCGATGAAGCCATCAGGGCCCGAGACCATGATCAAACGTGAGCCTCTCTCTTCCGGTGCGCGCAAAATGGTCCTTTCAAGATCTGGCCGCTCTATGAATGTTTTCTCTTCGTCCACATAATACTGCACACTGATTCCTCGTGTTGCCGCTTTGCCCCGTTCCTTGAGCGCGTCGAGTTCTTGCACGATAGCGCCTTTCTGATGTTCATTGTGAGAATGTACCAATGTGTCCTGTTCAGACTCAGTTGTTCCGAAAAGACTCTGCCACCAGCCTTTACGGCTTTCACTGGGTAGGTGCCAGGGCTTGTCGTCGCTCACACCACCCAGGCATTCTTCGCGCCGTCGATTCGCCCACAATATGTGCATTTTGCTACCTGTCCTTCGGCCCAGTGCCTGTGCAATTTGCATGGCTGGCGCAATGCCTGTACCTCCAGCTAGAAAGACGACCTCCTTGATATCGGCTGGCAGCTCGAATTCGGTGTTTGGGCCGCGTAGCTCAATGATGGAATTTGCAGGAAGTTGATGTAGGTAAGTCGATACCTCACCACCCTGCTCCTGGCGGATGAGCAGTCTTATGTCGGCTGGCTCATCGCGGCTCCTGATGTGACTGTCCGAGGTAGGCGGTAGCGGTGTGTAGGCACGGGCAATCTGCAGTTGAGGCTGCTTGATCTGCACGCTCCACACGCTGCGCTTCCAGACCTCGCGGACGCTATCAGGCTCAGGCCTGCCATCGCGGTTGCGCAGAGTGAAGATGGCACTTGTGGGAGACACAGTCTGCTTCTCGACGAGTGTGTATGGTGTGAAGGTGTAGGGATTGAGCGACGCGTCCGACGTGTCTGTAGATTTGAAGTAGCGATACGCTGCGCCGCCCAGGGCCGATGTGCCAATGACGACCAAGGGGCCTCTTCGCTTCAACCAAGACATTGTCGAGGTGGGCGTACGCGGACGAGCATCGAGTGCTGTGTTGGAGCAAGCTCATTGCTCGGTGTGTGCATTTTGTCTGTCTGAGTTGAGATGACGGCATCTGGGTCCGAGCTCGGCAATGACTAGTCTTCTTATGATTTGCCTGCCATGCAGGATACAAGAGGTTCCCTCCAGAGTCTGTGTGAACTTGGAAGTAATCAGGTTTTGATGCTCAAGATCTAAAAAGGATCTACACATTATATCGCTGATATGCCATGGTGTTGTCACTGGAATTTTGAACGATACTATTGAAGCTGTACAAGCAGGCTATGCACAAAATTTACATGGACATTTCCATTCCCCCAACGCCAGCCAATGCAGTTTTTGAATGGGGTATACACGCTTCTCCGAGAGCGAATCAACCAGTCGCACTGATCTCCTTCTTTACCCAGTTCTCCAATCCGCCAAGAGCAATGATCTCCTGGACATTTGGTGGCAGTTCACCAACCCTGACGTTCCACTTATCGCCATTTGGTCCTTCTTGAACAGTAACGGTGCTGCGGCGGATGTCCCATTCAAGCGTCCACCCAGTCCTACGGGTCAACTGCTTAGACTCGGCGGGCTGTGATGTCGCTGCTGGAGGTGGGGAGTCGAGAGACTCGCGATTCTGTGATGGTTCCTTGATGGCTTGCTGGGACGATGCAGTGTTTGCGGACGAGAAGACTTCGCGAAGGCGGTTTGTTAGCCTGGGTACTTCGACGCCCATGAGAGCATTGTTGATGCTGTTTCTGCTGAAGATGTTGCCGAAACTACCAGCGACCACCAGTGGAATGCCCTTGGCAAGAATAGCAGTCGCTGCTTGCTCACGACTACTCCCGCATCCAAAGTTGAAACCGGACACGAGAATATCGCCAGCCTTGGCCGTCTGGCCAAACCCTACGTCATAGTTCTCCATGCAGACTTCCGCCATCTTCTCCCGGGTCACATCGTCTTGGTAGGTGTATTTTCCAGGGTAGATGCCATCGGTGTTGATGTTGTCGGCATCGCAGAAGACGATTTCGCCATGGATCTTCTCGGGAAAGCCTGGTAGTATTTCGGTCAAGGTCTCAACTTCAGCACCTGATGCAGCAGATGGGTGAGCACTTTGCGTCTCGGATTCTGTCGCACCAAAGCTGCCAATAGCTGCTTCAGCATCTTTGATAGCCTTCTCAAGCATATCTTCGATGGTCATCATACGATTCTCCTCCAGGATACCGTCACCCTCGCCACGGCGGACTCCCTCGTAACCCTCTGGTGCTTCGTAGCGGCCAGGACCGGAAATGCTCCCGGATAGAGCACTTGCTGCGACTACCTCGGGACTCGCGAGGTATGCCTTCGCATCGGGAGATCCCATTCGTCCCTTGAAGTTGCGATTGCTGGCGCTGATGCCTACCTCGCCCGGCTCGAGGAGACCTGTGCCAAGTCCTATGCAAGGGCCACAACCAGCTGGCAATGGTTGTGCACCGGCTTCTAACAACGTCTGCCAATCGCCGGCTTCCTCTGCGGTCTTTTGTTCGGGAATCGAGGCTGCTGCAATGTAGAAGCTGACATGGTCAGCAATCTTTGGGATCTTGTCCCCATTGGCAACTGCGGCATCCTTGAAAACCCTGGCTGCCGCCGCAATATCCGATGCACGAGAGTTGGTACATGAGACGAGATAGGCCTTGTTGATGGGAATGTTCTGCTCTTGGAGCTCAATCAGAGGCGTAGCGACTTTGACAGAATTTGGTCCGGATACATATGGCGATAATGTTGCAAGGTCGAGGAAGAGCTCCTTGGCATAGACTGCACCTTTGTCTGCGGCGAGAGCGGGTTTGAAGATGTGACCCAGTTGCTTTCCTACCATGCCTGTGGCGGTAAACAGCTTGTCGATGCGCTCGTGCACAAACTGTTGCTGGTGGTGGTCCTTGGCTTGCCCCTCGCCCATGGCCGCAAGAGTAGCCCTGGCCCTGAGCCAGCCATGAAGCACCGAGTCGATTGGGAAGAGACCAGTTAGGGCGCCCCATTCTGTTGTCATGTTTGCGATGGTGAGGCGGTCGTCGACGGGGATACTGCCAATGGTCTCGTCAGTGCCGGTGAACTCAATGGCGTGGTTCAAGACTTCGTCCTTGTTGAACAGACCGGCCAGTGCGACGATGACATCCTTGCCAGTCACGCCCTGAGGCATGGTTCCGATCAGGTTGACCTTGGCCACGGGAGGGATCTGCCACCATGTCTTGCCTGTGGCCCAGATGCTTGCGGCGTCGGTTCGCACCACGGGGGTACCTAGGCAGCCGATGCCGCCGTACATGTTGGAGTGGCTGTCCGAGGCCACAGCTAGTGTTCCTGGCCAGGCGTAGCCCTCCTCAACCATGATCTGATGGCCAATGCCTCTGCCGGCTGGATAGAAGACGACGTCCTGTTTCTTGGCAAAGTCTTCGATCTGGCTGTATTTCTTCAGGTTCTTTTCCGTCTTGTTCTGGACATCGTGGTCAAGCGTCATGACAATCTGGCTTGGGTCGCTGATTCGGGTTGCGCCAATGGACATGAACTTGAGGGCAACGGGCCACGAGTTGTCGTGCGTCATGCACCTGTGTGGCTGCAGGGTGACATAGTCGCCAGAGCGCAGCACCTTGCCCTCGGCGACGCCCACGGCATGGCGCTGCACAATCTTCTCGGTGAGGGTCTGCGGCGTCTTTGGGGTTTCGTGGAGGGAGGGCAGGAAGCTGGCGGCCGCGCCTTCCTTCAGCGAGTGGAAGACTTCGGGCGCGTCACGCCGCGGTGCAGTGGTCGAGAAGGCGCGAGGGACGGGATTTGCCCGCGGCAGGTGCGGTGCGGCGCGGAGAGACAGAGGCAGAGACACAGACAGACTCGTCCGAAGCTGCATGCAGTGTTAGGTATGCATACCATCATCTTCATCTGTTGAGCACTTGATGGCGCACGGGGGACGTACTGTCGTCTGCCGGCGGCCCAGGAGGCGTGCAGCCCGCAGTGACATGGCCATGGCTCGCCGTTGCAAGGTTGCAGGAGATCAGGTATCGCGCAGGTCGCCGGTCGCTGGTGGCTGGTGGCTGGTGGCTGGTGGCTCGTCGCTCGTCGCTCGTCGCTCGTCGCTGGTCACTTCCCCAGACTCCCCCGAATTTCGATTGACTCAGCCAAGCTGACATTGACATTTATTCCGTCGCGGCCGACTTCGGCGTCATCGGCATTTGCGCTGCTCCCATTGGACGACGGCCGGACATGCAATTGATTGCGACTGCCTCACCTAATGACTGATGGTGGTGCTGATGGTGCTGGTGCTCGTTGAGGCGTTTAGTAATATGTGGCCCTGCACCCGCATTCGGACGCGTTTGGCTGTGAAGGAGTCATCCGCATGACGTGACTTGGACCATGGACAAATTTCACTCCCACCGTACCGGCACTCCGCTTCTGACTGTGACTGCATGTGTCTGCCGACCCTTCAATCGCTTGTCCCACGTCACTGTCACTCCCACCCGTGCTGTCCCGTCGTCGGCCCATGGTCAACCGCTCTGCATGTCAACTACTTTGGCGCGGTGCCCCGCACCCCTCCCCACCACGGTGCTGGAGAAGGCATCGCAGGCCCTGCTGAACTACAAGGACAAGGGCATTGGCCTGTGTGAGATCTCGCATCGCTCCCCAGAAGCCAACGAGATCCTCGCCGACTGCAAGCACGCCTTGTCCACGCTCCTCAGCATCCCCGACGACTACGAGATTCTGTTCCTCCAGAGCGGCGGCAGCGGCGAGTTCAGTGCCACGGTATACAACCTCGTCTCCATATGGGTCGAGAAGAAGCGCGCCAAGATCGCAGAAGAGGTCGGTGACGACAAGGACGAGGTCCTCAGGCGCCTGCGCCGCGTCGTCGACGAGGAGCTGAAGCTCGACTACCTCGTTACTGGCTCGTGGTCGCTCAAGGCTTCGCAAGAGGCTGCGCGTCTGGTCGGCGCAAAGCACGTCAACATAGCAACCGACGCGCGCAAAATCAGCCATGGCAAGTTTGGCAACATCGCTCCCGAGGACCAGTGGACTCTGACCCCACGCTCCGCTGGGGGCCCAGCATTCGTATATTTCTGCGATAACGAGACTGTCGACGGCGTCGAGTTCCCCTCCTTCCCAAAGAGCCTCGAGGGTGAGGATGCTCCCCTGGTCTGCGCCGACATGTCTTCAAACTTCATTTCCCGCAACGTCGACGTGAGCAAGTATGCCGTCATCTTCGGTGGCGCCCAGAAGAACATCGGCAACACTGGTATTGCGATAGTCATCATGCGGAAATCCCTACTCCCGCCTCATTCAACGCCAGCTTCCCCCGATCTCTTGAGGGAGCTCAACCTGGCCGTCGGTCCGATCGTGTTAGACTACCCTACCATCGCCAAGAACAACTCGCTTTATAACACCCTCCCTATTTTCGATGTGTGGGTCGCCGGCCAAGTCATGTCTGGACTAGTCAACTCGTTCGGTGCCAAACGCATAGGTGGACAGGAAGAAATTTCCAACGAGAAGGCCCGTCTGATCTACGAGGCCATTGAGAAGTATCCCAGTGTGTACCGTGTTGTCCCAGACAAGAGCGTGCGTAGCAGAATGAACATCTGCTTCAGAGTCGGTGGTGGTGATGCCGACAAAGAGAAGGCGTTTCTCGCTGGCGCAGAGAAGAAGGGCCTGCTAGGTCTGAAGGGACATCGCAGCGTGGGGGGCATACGGGCCAGCAACTGTGAGTGAACATGTGCTTTCTTTTGATCTTGGATCCACCATTCTGTCTCAGCACGCTATCGAAATGTTCCCATGGGCACATCTATGCGCCTTTGACACCGGGAGCAATATCTTCTCTTGTTCTTTTCCAGGCATCGAATCTCCAGATCGTGCGAGCTAACCAGTTTCGTGCTGTAGACAATGCTGTATCTCTCCAAGGTGCTAAACTTCTCGTTTCGTACCTGGAACAGTTTGCGGAATCGGCTTAGATGACACTCCACATAAGAGCAGGACGTGGGTTCGATGACTTATCCTTAGGCCCAGCATACTGGTCCTAGCGAAGTGGTGACAACACAGGAACCAATTCACGAGACTTCCATTCATCATGGAACAGGTAGCAAATACACGTAATGTCTGAGTCCACAAAATGCTCGCACATTCCATTCCTTTCTTCACCACTAGCAAAAGCTTTCGCGAACGTCCTATTCTTCATCACTGAGTGGCACCACAGAGTAGCATGAACAGCCAGCTTCTGGAAGACTTCCCTCTTGGCTGCATTATGCGTTGTCGCGTGGCTGCAACGAGGTGTTGATCAAGATTGAAGGTGTGGCGAACCAGCGTCGAGACAAGTACAGGCTCTGCGTAGCCTTGCAATTGCGGCTGCAAGGCACCTCGCTGATCCGGCCCATATGAGACGGTTCCTAGCCATGTTGGTCAACAATTGAGCAGATTTTGTGGGCCCGAAACTGCCACAGGGCCGAGTTGGCTCCATCTCCACATTACCGGTCAAAAAGAGGCACTTTGTGTGCGTAAACCGACGGCTATGCGTACCAGCACATCCACAGTAGGTTGATAATGAGATTGGACTCGTGGTGGTCATTTATCAACGCTCAAGTGACAAATTCCACGGGTTGAGTTAGTATACCTAGCCAGTGCATCTTCTCCACATATTTGCGCCAACCTGGTACTATATGTTGTCAACTACGACGGAAAGCGACCAAATAGCAGTGTATTCATAGCCTGAAGCTATACGCAGGGCACTCCCATCCTGTTCGAAGTCTAGTGATGCCGTGTGTAGCTCCAGTATCTCGGACCATCACTTCGTTAGCAGGGCCCCTCTTCCTCCCAGGGTAGTTGAGAGCCTGCAGTACAAGCCACACTACGCGTATACGTCTTTTTGGGGCAGCTCTGGCTTGTCTGGCGCTTCCATCTCTGACTTCGGCGTCACGCCTCTTGAACAATTCGCCGTTCGCTTCACTGCATAATGTGAGCCGCTATAGTCGGCGAGTAAGTCCATGCACTCAAGGCGCGCGGTCGTGGCTCGCATGGGGTTCTGGCGTTCTTCCTGTCTCAACAAGGGCTGAAGCGAGAACCTGCGGCACTGCGAAAACCCAGCAAGCATCAGAACCTTAGTCCGACCACTCCACAACCACAACCACAAGCTTGCGCCACTGTCAACTTGTCATGACCATGCTGTACACAGTAGCTGCAGACTGCAACATCGTGGACGAAACACAATCATGCCTCTTCTAATACTGGTCCCGCTGGATACGGCGCTTATTGGACCCAGGTGCAATTGCGCGAAGAACAATGTTGTACTGTTGTGTTGGAGTAAACAGGCAATGACGTGCACAGGAATGTCTCAGCATCCGGCCATGCTTGCGCACAGGTCCTATGCAGGTCAAATCACCGCCTCCGAGCTCTACGGTAGCCATGAGTCCATGACAAACGGTGCCTGAACGGGTCTCGTCCCTTCCGCTGCCCAGAACTAACTAGGACATGGGCGGCTCGCATGGTTGAAACCCCCAGCTTCGCGAGCATACAACCTGTAATATGACCAGATTCTGGACGCTGCCAATGCCTGTTTCCTAGCGAATGAGTTGACAGACGCCTCAGGACCGTTGTCCCGAAACCGTGCGCTACTGGCACACCTCCATTAGTTTCCTCATATACCGTTTGGCGTCTCATACTCACCCCGTGTCGTACGTCTCGTCGCCCACGCTCTTTTCTCTTCTTTCGCTACTGCTGGCAGGTTCAGGCACATTTGCAATAGACGCTGAGCTGGTTACTCTCTTGTTCGACGTCACCCGGGCGGACTCATGAATATCTAAACGTTTCCCTTTTTTTAACCGCTGCTGGTTACCAGCGAAACCCTTTCACTTCTCGTATACCTGTTTGCGGGAGCTGGCAAGATGGAAGCATGGCACAATCACTTCCCTCGACTCGATGCGCGATCGCACTTCAACATGACGCTCAATGCCTCGGCCGCTCGAGAGGGTCCATGGACAGCGACAAATACAACCAGGAAACTGATCGCTAGTCTGCAATTGCAACAAGTCCAGACGTTGCGAACTATGCATCTTACCATAGGAGCTTTCAGTCTAGGCCTGGTCCTTTTGACAGTCCACCGTATCGTGTCCGACGCGAGGAGAGCGGCTGCATTGCAAGTCACTCTCAGGAAAAGGTGAGCTGGAAAGACTGTCGTAATGAACGCCGAACTGACTATGAATAGGCGCTTCAGTGCTCTCCGCAATGTCCACCCCGCAGACACCTTCCCACTAGCGCTGGCCAGCGGTGCGGTACTACAACAGATTATCTTCGTAGCAGTGCAGAGCACATCCCTTCATAGTGTATTGTCTAACAAGTGCCGGGGACTTTCCATGATTACATTCTCAGTATGTACAAACCAGAAGCATGTGGGACGAGAGACTAAAGTGCCTAGCAATCT